GTGTGTGTATACATGACTGTGCGGCCCAAAGGCTGCCCCTCCTCTGAGTGTCTCCTCTCTGCCCATGGACAGATGGCCAAGCACAAGTTCAGGTCTCAGGCTGTGGGTGACTCTCTGCCTCTCCTCTGGTCACAACTACAACCTCCTAAGGATCAGATGAAAGTCACAGAAAAGAAGTAGGCAACGAGCATTGTTTTGGCTGGTTGTGTTTAGGACCCTGGCTCGATATCACTAATGTTCTACCACGTTACTTCTGTAGGGCCTACCCAGGTGCCTGCCCTGCTGGATCCAAAACTCTAATCCATGTTTCTGGTATGACCAATAGCCATGCTCTGTCCCCTGCATGAACATGCTTGTGAATTTGACCCCTTTCCCAGAGGGCTTAGACTTCTTTCTGCCCCACAGAGAAGGCCAGCATCACCATCCGGACCATCTTCAGCATCATCTCTGGCACGATGAACCAGGACAACTCCACTTCAAAGGCCAGCTATTCACTAGGGGCTAGACTCCAGGGTCCAAGGGAGGAGGGCTGGGGCCTGGACTCCAGGGTCCAAGGGAGGAGGGCTGGGGCCTGGACTCCAGGGTCCAAGGGAGGAGGGTTGGAATGTGGACTCCTGGTTGGAAGAAGGAAGGCTGGAAAACAGGATTCCCAAGCTTTGTGTCTCCCCTGGTCCTGAACACGCCCCACCCCATCCATCTACAGACCTACACATCTGATTCTGAGGGAACCATAGGCCGGGGCCGTCTGATTGAGACTCCTACACAGCGTGTCTCTCACAACGCCCATGATTTATCCTTCACGGACTCCCGTGGTCACATGGACACCTTCCTGTGGACCCAAGACCTGGACAAGCTTATAGACACCGAGTCCACCTCTCTGTCTTCCCCCTTGCGCATGTCCCCTTACTCTCCTGCCTTCTACATCTTTCCACCGGGCTCCTCCTTAACGAAGTCCAATGACAAAGCCAAGCCCAAGCCCATAGGCTCGATGAAATACATGTCCTCCCCTATCACATCAGGGAAAACACCGTTCATTTGGGACAAGTCTAATAAGGTACCAGCTGAGCCGGCCCCAGCTCAGAAGGCCCCGGCTGCACCACGGTCAACCCAGAAATCTTCAGCCAAATCTAGCCCCTTCTATAAGACTCCACCTTCTGGTTCCCGGAAGACCCCATCCGTCCCTGGGCCCCCCGGGAAGGCCCCATCCGTCCCTGGGCCCCCCCGGAAGGCCCCATCCGTCCCTGGGCCCCCCCGGAAGGCCCCGGTTCTAGTTACCCAACCCCAGAAAACTTTAACCCCGGTTTTGAAGCGTCCAAAAGCACCTGCAGGTTCCCAGAAGGCTGTGCCCCCAAAGAAGGACATTCTAGTCCTAAACACTCAGTGTCAGGCTCCAGCGGCCCGGTCTCAAGCTCCCGACTCAAAGGCCAAGGCCCCTGTGGATCCGAGCATGTTACAGGCAGGAGATATGCTCGAGAGAAAGTCTGAAGGGAAACAGGAACCTGGGGTGGGAGAGCAGAAAAGGAAAGCGGTAGAGATGAAGGCCACGTCCCCGCAGCTGCCCAGCACCACCAACAAGAAGCAATCCAAGGAGGTCTTGATTAGTAAAACCCAGGAGATCACTGTGGAGGCCTTGAAGAGCAGGGGCAAGTCAGAGGAGAGGGTCCACAAGATGGAGAAGACAACTGTGAACTTGCCCGATCTGAAGTCCTTGGAGATAGAGAGTCAGAAGAAATGGGTCTTGACCAAGGAGGTAGCTGTTGGGGGCCCCTGTCTGGAGGACAGCAGGCCTTTCTCTGTCGAGGGGCTCGCCCTTGCCAAGATGATGATCATGGCCAACTCCAAACAGCAGCATCTGAAGCCAACTACCATCTCTCTGCCCTCCTGGTTCTCCATGACTTCCAGGGCGTCCGCCATGTCTGTGTTGGCCAATCTGCCCTTTAACACCAGCCAGATGACCTTGCCAGAGAGGACACAGGTGGTGGTCAGGGAACAACCTAGCTCCTATACTGAGATGAGAGAGAACAAACCACACCAGACGGAGAAGAACCCACCCAAGGGCTCGCTGAAGATGTCCAAGGAACCCACAGCGGAGCTGCCCAAGACTGTTATTATTAGCTCAAAGGTGCACGTAACTTCTCAGCCTCCCATCGCCGTGCCCGTCTCAGGTTCGAAGGACACGTCCCAGCCACCCACATCCCTCACAGATCCTGTCTCCAAGACAGAGTCCTCAGTGGGGGTGCCCCAAAAGCCTGGGGTGAAACATCAAGGGCCCAAGCAAGTCAAGCAGGCGAAAACCCAGCAGCAGCCCCTGGCTGTCGCGGGGCCAGCCTCAGAAGTTCTCCTTCCCATCACCTGGGAGATGGAGGATAAGGGGACAACGGCCACGAAAGATAAGATGCCAGTGAAGAAAGCCGGTGCCCATCACGCTCAGGTATTTGGGATTAGCAGTGGCATCCACTGTCAACTCTAATACACACACACACACACACACACACACACACACACACACACACACACACAAGAGGTGGGGAGAGGGGAGCAGGTTCTCGGGACTGAAATCAGACCATGTGTTATGCTAAGTGAGCCAACCCACGACTGACGTCACTAGACATAGATATGAAGTGTTGACTGTGTGGCGGGCATTGCTCTAAGCAGTGGAGATACAACACCCAACAATAAGGGTGGCAGAAGTAGATTATGCCGCTTGGCACCTAGTGGTCGAGATAAGGCGTGTTGCTAAATATTTGCCTCGCAGGGGACAGACCCCACCACAGCGCAGCGGCCTAAGGTGGCCTCAGCCTCACAGCTGGAGTCATTTGTGTAGAGTCATGAGAGGGGGCTGGAGATGTAGCTCAGAGAGCAGGGAACTTATGTCGCGTGCACAGAGTCTTGAGCCTGAACTGCCCGACACTGAACAAAACATGAAGGCAGACGGTATGGGAGTCCAAGACCGGCCTTGGCTATCCATAGTGAGTTGGAGACCAGTCTGGGATGCATGAGACCTAGTCTCGAAACAAAACAAGAAAGACCTGTGGGGGAAGATGGAAGCATCCAGGGGGAGGGGAGTTCCTGCAGAGCCGTGGTTCTCAACCTTCCTAACAGTGGGGCCCTTTAACACAGTTCCCAACGTTGTGGTGACCTCCAGCCATCAAGTTATTTCACAACTGTAACTTTGCTATTGTTATGAATCGTAATGTAAATATCTGATACCACGACCCACATGTTGAGAACCGTGGGTAGAAGGGACCAAGTCCCTGAGGCAGAAGCTTGCATGCTCACTGTGCCTTTACCAAGTGTGCCCTACGCAGAGTCCTAACTCTGGGATGCTGTCAGGGGAGCCATTGGGTGTTGGGGGGTGTGGGGAGTGTGAGAGGGAACCCATCACCCGGGAACTGCAGACAAGTTTAAGGATGGTGGCTTTGACTCTGAGCAAGCTGGAGGGTTGGGGCCAGAATAGTTGGAACTGATTTATGTGGAATGGGCTCTCCGCTGGGCTCCAGAATGTAGAGGGGACGGAGGTGGGAACCGGGGAGTGTTTTTACGTTGGAGGCCACCCAGGAGATGATGGTAGCTTGGACAAGAGGGTGCTGAGAAGCCTTGGACTCCACAGACACTTGGAAGGGTAGAGTAACGGGGCTGCCTCATCCATCAGGCACATGACGAATAAGGAGCTATGTATTGGTTACTTTTCTCCGTATTGTGACAAAATACCAGAGAAAAGGAAGAGCTGGTTTCTTCTGATGCACAGTGTGAGGGTTCGATGCCATCACGGTGGGGGACGTTTGTGTGTGTATGTGTGGGGGTGATGGTGTGAGTGTGCTGGCCTGGGCATGCACGAATGGAGGACAGAAGTCAGCTTTGGGTGTCTTCCTCTGTGAAGACTTTCCCTTTTATTTTTTGGAACAGTCTCTTGCTACATTTAGAGCTTGTCATTTTGGTCTAGAATGACTGGCCAGCGAGCTCTGGACACCCACCTTTGCCCACCCATGTGTGCTGGGGTTACAGGAATGTGCCACCATCCCTTGGTTTTCCATGGGTTCTAGGCTCCCAAAGCCATGGCCTCATGTTTTCACGACTGATTTATGTGGCAATTTACCCACTGCACCATCTCCTCAGTCCCATTTTCTCATTTTTATTCAGTCTGGCACCCCAGACTGCAGAATGGTGCCACCTATATTGAGAGTGAGTCTTCCCACCTCGATTAGCTCCTTACAGATGTGCCCAGAAGCTTGTCTCCTGGGTGGTTCTCGATCACATCAAGTTGACAATATTAACCATCCCCGATGTCGAGGGTGGCAGGGATGTTTAGCGCTTCAGAGACCTGCAGAATGCAAAAGCCCCAGGCAGCAGTGTGTGTGTGTGTGGGGGGGGGCAGACAGCGAATGGAGGGCTCAGGGAGGAGATTCTGAGGTGGCTGGGGATCATACCTGACAGGTGACGGGATGTGGGAGCCCAGCATTCAGGGGAAGTGGTTGGGGGAACTGTGAGATGGGAGGAGATATCAGGAGAGGCAAAGGGTGTGGGGATGTAACGCATGTGGTAGAGTGCATGCCTGCCCCTGGGTTTGATCCTGGCACCAGATAAAACTGGGTGTGGCAGTCCATGCTTTTGGTCCTAGCACTCGGGAGGCAGAGGCATAGGGTCAAGAGCCCAGGGTCACCTTTGGCTATGGATCAACATCAAGGCCAGCCTGGACTACAGAGTGACCCTGGTTCAAACTAAGAAAATAAGAGCCCCTGAGGTGGTTCAGTGAGTAAAAGTGCTTGTCACCAAGCCTGGCAGCCTGCGTCCATCCATGGGACCCATGTGGTGGAAGGTGAGAACAAACTTCCCCAAGTTGTCCTCTGATGTACATAAGCATCCATGGCATCCTCTCCCCTTTAATCCCAGCACTCGGGAAGTAGAAGCAGGTGGATCGCTGTAAGTTTGAGACCGTCCTGATCTACATAACCGGCACCAAGCCAGCCAATTTCCAGGCCACAGTGAGACCTTGTCTCAAGAAAAAGAAAACAGTAAATAAAAATTACCATATACCAAGGAAAAGAAACAGACCCCAAAGCCAACCAAAGACGATTATATTTCTATGAAATGTCCAGATATCCATGGAGCAGAAAGAAGACAGTGGTTTAAAAGAGCTTAGAGACGTAGAAATGGGAATGACTTCTAATGTGTTGGGAGGGGGGTGAATGGTAATCAAAACAAATTGGAACTAGGAAGGAATGATAAATATATTGACCACCTTTTAAGGTGTAAATAACAGCTGTGAATTTCATATACATATATAATTTTTTTTCTGTACTCTTGGATACCTGTCTCTCTGCCAGTCCCCCTGAAACATTCTCTGCCTTTCTCTCCCGCAGTAAGCAGCGACCCAAGGATTTAAGATAACATAATACAGGAGACTCGATCTATCAACAAGTCGTCCAGAAGCCCAGTGGGGCCAGGTACCCCTGAGACCCGGAAGATCTGGACCTGGAAGAGTGGGTCTCAGGAACCAGGAGTCACCCTCCCTTTCCTCCTCCCCTCACAGGCCCACGGGGTGCTGTGCACCCCGGACTGTAAGATGCGGACTGCTGAGAACACCGTGTGTGGTGTGGTGGGGAATCCTCCCTCTCCCGTAGAGACCAGAGCTAGATATACGTTTATATATTGGGGAGGGTCGGGCGGGGCAGATGTCAGGGAGAAGCTCAGCTTTGCAGGGATTAAAAGTCTTAGTCTGAGACTCAAAGCCCAGACTTGGTGCCTTGTTAATGTGCGTGCGCTCGAGCGCACGGGTCCCCCCCAGGGGGCGTCCCTCGAGGAAGAGGGGGAGGGGCGTGCACTGGCCCCGCCCCCACACCACAGAGGGCTCCTATTGGCTGGGACTCCCGGGGGCCAGCCAATCGGCCCTGAGGGTCGTGGTCTCCCTGCGCTTTGGGGACCCGCCCTCACTCCTCCAGCTAGACGCAGCAGGTGGACGCCCCCGCAGCCCTGCTGCCCAGCTCCGTTCGTCCTCATCCGTCTGGTGAGGGCAAGGTGGGCTGGGTTTGGAGTGGGTCGGGAGCTGGGACAGGTCGGAGTGAGGGGCGCCCCTTAGGCCCCACGGAGCCCCGCACCCCTTCCTGCAGATGCCGACCTTTCCGTGGATGTTGGATGTTGAAGCCCAGATGCCCCCTCCGGGCGAGTGGAAAACGCCCCCCTTCGACCCGCGCTTCCCTAACCAGAACCAGACGCGTAACTGCTACCAGAATTTTCTGGGTGAGACCGTTTGGGCCAGATTAGAGGGGAGGCCCCCGCCTGGAGACCCTGGAGACCGTTGGAACGGGAGGCTAGGTCCTGGCCCGCAGGGGCGGGGCCTGCCCCGAAGTGGGTGGGGCTGAGCCGTGGGGGGCGGGGCCTGGAGTGGAGGCGGCTGCCTGTCTGGAGGCAGAAAGTTGGCGGGCTTGGAGTGAAATGGACTGAGCCAGGAGGGGATGGAGCCTTGTCAGTAAAGGGCAAGACTAGGAGTGAGGGGACTAAGTCATGAGAAAAGGAGCGGGGCCCGAGGTGAAGGGAGGCCCCTGATCTGGAGCCAGCTGGAACTGAGTCCTGGAGGGGCAAGATGAAGCCGACAGCCAGAAGGAACCGGACCTCGCCAGGTGGTAGAGCTCAGTCGAGATGGGAGTTTGTCGGGGGCAGGCTGTAGTGGGAAGGAGGCGCCCTGTTGGTTGGAACTGAGTCCTGGAAGGGCCGGGCGGCCGTAAGTAAGTAGGGTGGGGCCAAAGCCTAGAAGGGCGTGGTGTGGCATGGTCTTGACTGGGCGTGGCTTGCACCCCCACCCCGAGGCCCTCTGCAGACTACCACCGGTGCGTGAAGAGCATGAGCCGCCGCGGGAAGAACACACAGCCCTGCGAGTACTATTACCGCGTGTTCCATTCCCTGTGTCCCATCAGCTGGGTGAGAGGGCGGGGCCGGCCTAAGGGCGCAGCAGGGCTGTTGGAGAGGGGTGGTGGGCTCAGACACAGGCTGAGCAGACGCTGGGGTCCCCTCTGCCGCTCCAGGTGCAGCGCTGGACCGAGCAAATCAAGCAGGGGACTTTCCCGGGCAAAATCTGACTGTGCACTTGAGCGCTGCTCCCCTGGAGGCATCAGCCCCCAGTGACCTCCGTCCTCTGACCCCAGCCAGGGTCACCCACCTCCGCTCTGTCTCTACGCCACAAATAAAGTTATGGTGCTGCTAATGTTTGTTTTCTTTCTGGTTTTGTGTTTTTGAGACAGAGTCTCTCTCACTAACCCTGGAACTCACTGATGAGCTAGACGAGCTGGGATCCCCTTGTCTCTGACTCCCCAGCACTGCGATTACAGCCTCGGCTTCTGCACCAGGCTTTTTATGTGCATGCTGGGGATCCAGACTCAGGCCATCATGCATGCTTGGCAGGTGCTTCCCGGCTGAGCCCCCTAACACCGCTTCTTTTGGTCCTGAGGGCAAGGATTGCTGCCCCAGAGTTGAGGCAGTCACGGCCCCCAGGCAGGCAGAAACAAGCTCAGGGTTCTTGAGTCCTGCCGTGATGGTGAAGTCAAGAGCTCAGCATTTAAGGTAGCCCATGCCTTTAGACCAGCGCTCCATGCACCTTGACATCTGTGAATCTGAAGCTAGCCTGGTTCTACGTAGTGAGTTCAAAGCCAACCAAGACTACAATACAATGAAACCCTGACCAAAAAACAAACCAATAAACAAAAATCACAACAAAGACTCTTCCACCAACAGGGTCCCAGGGTGCTTGTCTGTCAGTCATCACACCTCCCTGTTACCCTTCTTCAAATGCCCACCTCTCAGCCTCCCCTCCTGCAGGGCCGTCTTGGCTATCCTATCCACCCATCCAGCCCCTGGTCCTGAGGAGTCTTCATTCCATGACCCAGTGCTGACCCACTAGTCCCTGACCACCCTGCTCTGACACCTATCGGCTTTCTGTCATGACCTATCTCCACTGGTCCCGTTTCCCTCCAAACACACCCTGTCCCCACCACAAGAGCCCTCTTGTCCCAACAGGGCCCCAGAGACTTCTCCATCCTTCAGCAGCCCCACAGCCTGGCACAGCAGCAGCCTCTGATTTAAAAAAGGTGTATGAATAAGATATTCATGTATGTACATATACCCGTTGAGTGACTGGTGCCCATGGAGGCCAGAAGCCGGCCCTGGATCTCCTGGAACTTGGAACAGCAAATGTCCTTAACCACTGAGCCATCTCTCCAGCACCTACCCCCTTTGATTTCTAATGCAGGTCTACCCTGTGCTCATCTGGGGCCATCTGTCCCTTTCTCCATAGGTGGCACTTGTGATTCTCCTACTGACCCCTTCAGCACACTCCACACTTCCGTCTTAATCATCCTTTGTTCTTTCCCATCTTTTCCAATCAGCTGCCAATCACTCTGGTTCCAGAAACTCCTTGGCATATCTTCCAAACATAAGGAAGGCCATCCTCCTCTTTATGTAGCCCTGGCTGATCTTGAACCCACAGAGATCCATCTACCCATGTCTGCCTCCTGTGCACCACCACCCTGCCCGGCTGACTCCATAGCCCCCTTTTTAAAATGTATGAGTAGGTGGGTGGGTGCTGGTGAGAGGTGGCCACCAGATGTCCATAGTCACTGGATGGAGAACGTAAGCAGCCCGACGCCAGGTCCTCTCGAAGAACGGCAAGGACTAAGCCACTAAGCCTCCTCTCTCTCCTGAAGTCAACCTGCTGGTTTATTGTTTTGAGATAGGTCTCATGTAGCCAGGATAGCCTTGGACTCTCAATCCTCCTGCCCCTAGTTCCCACGTGTTGGGACGATAGCCACCAAGCCCAGCACCAGTAACCCTTAACAGAGCCAGAGGCCTCTAGGTTGGCTGTGCTGGCACCTGCTGCTATCCACAGCTACCCGCCTCCTGGCTGGACCTGAAATCATTCTCAAACTCTGTCTTCCAAGGCCTCACGTGGCTACATTTGACTCCCAGGTTCAAAGTAACTTTGATTACGTATGTCAGCTTCCTGAACGACCAACCTCAGCTTCTCCAGCTGCCTCAGAGTCCCGTTATCAGAAGCAGGATGGGGGGGGGGGTTTGGCTGAGCTCCAAGGACTGACCGGTCCCACCCTTGGATGACCTGTCCACCACCTGCCCCACAGGCTGCTCACCAAGGACACACCCCAGATGGCCTAGCATGACTATGTCTAGACCTTGGCCTCAGACTGTCTGAGCACCACCTGAGAGGGAGGGCATCGTGCAAGTACAGGACGGGGACCGGCTACGGGAAGACACTGGCCACTCGCCATCCCCACAGGCGACGCTGCTGACAGGCTGTCACGGGAGAGGTCACATGCTGCCGGAGGGCGAGGATGTCACCTGGTTGAGTGGCTGGGGCACAGGCCCACACCTTTGTCCCGCCCAAGACCTGGGTCTGGAGTCACTGTTTACCCCCAGTGTCCAGCCTTCCTCTGCCTCTTCCCCTTGTCAGGTCCCTAATCCTCCTCCCTGCCATCGTCACCTGACTACTTCCTGTCTCTTTCCAACACTTGGAAAGGCCAGACTGGCTTCAAACTCCCCTCCATCCTCTTCCCGCAGGCTCCCGAGGACCGGGATTACAGGTGTGCCGCCATCCGAGGCCTCACGCCCCGGCCAGCTTTGCCCAGGCCTGAGGAGCCTGTGAACCTTCCCCCCACAAACTCAACCTCTCTCTAGGCCCCTCAGCTAGTGTTCCCCACCCACATCCCCTGGGGCGATTTCCCAAGATCCCAGGGCCACACTCAGCTCTCTGCAGCCTCCTCTGGCCTTTCCCCTTTCCTCCAGCTCTGTAGTTCCTTCCTGGGCGGGGGTGAGAACCTCTCTGCTGCTCTCCGGCTGTCCTGCGGATCCTCTTACAGACACCCTCTCCCTACAGCGTGCTATGGCTCCTGCAGTCATGTGATCAACCTCGGAGGTTGAAGGGGAGAAACAGGGTTGGGACAGCCCCACTGAGGCGGCACCAGCTTCCACACCGGCTCTCTTTACTTCTTGGTTATTTCTCTTCTTTCCCGAGACAGAGGACTAAACTTAAGGCTCGGCACTGGCCAAACAAGCCCCCTTCCACTGAACTACACCGCAGCCTTTCTACCTCCCAGAGCACAGCAGGGAGTCTGAGGCCACGTGGGCAACCTGAGACTTCCTCTGCCCTCACCATCGATGCCATCTCCCCGGAACCTGCTTTTGCACAGGCCCAACAACTCCCTGCTCCAACCCCAAGACGACGACGACGACGACGACGACGACGACGACGATGACGACGACGATGATGACGATGATGATGATTTCCTACAGTCTAGGAAGGCTTGGCTGGCCTGGAACTCCGTGTGTGTCTACTACAGCCTAGACTTGAACTCAGACATCCGCCTGCCTCTGCCTCTCGAGTGCAGGGATTAAGGGGTGCCACCACCCAGGCCCTGCACTAGCGGTAAGGGCCTCTGGCTGAGAAGTGAGAGGGACAAGCCCCTACACGGCCTCAGGCAAGCCACTCTGCCTCCTGTCACCCGGCGTCGTTCCTGATCTCACTTTCCCACAACAGAGAATGCACTCGGTCATCTCCCATAAGCGCTGTTTTTGTGGTCACCGGGCTTTACCTTAGTAGCCGTCCCCAGGACCCACCGCCCCCTCCCTTAAGGCTTGTCAGGGTAGCTATCAGTGTCCAAGGCTCGTCCGTCCGTCATCTCCACCGCAAGGCCGAGCTCTCAGACTCCCACTTGACACCCCCCTAAAACATCCCAAACTCCTAAGGGCTTAGAAGGTTTTAATAAAAAGTTCAAGTTCTTCCAATCCCCCACCACACCCCATTCTGGTGTGGGGAAGAGAGCGAGCCTCCCCACACCCCAGTAGCACCAGGGATAGCACCGTGAGAAAGATGAGGTCATACCTGGCCTCCCTGAGACCCATGGGGCGGGGCCAAGGATGTGCCCCTGGGTACCCCCCACCCCATCTGACCGCCCCTGCCTCCAACACCTGCAGAGCTGAGCCAACCCACTCCCCACTGTGGGGGCAGCCTGGGAGGGCACACTCCCAAGTCAGCTCCACCTCCCGAGGCCTGAGCTTCTGGGGAGTTGCCATGGAGAGGCCCCCTACCCCTTATGGCTTTGCTCCCTGGGGAGAAGAGGCTGAGGGGAGGGGGTGGCTCCTACAGTCCTGAGGTGGGGGCAGGGATGGGGCGGGGGCATCAAATGGCCAGGGCTCCCTGCTTGGGTGGGGTTGGCTCAGGGGTCAGCAGTCATGGAGTAACAAGGATCAACTCCCTAGGGATGGCCTAAAGAGCACACACTCCCAGGACCAGACCTGGGTCAAGGGTCAACTCCTTCCTTCCTTCTGGAGGGGTCCAGTCTGGGCTCGCTGCAGGCAGCCCATCACGGCTCACCACTGTTGATGTCCAGATCAATGGAACCGTGACTGACCACTAGCCGGAGGCGCTTAGGTGGGCAGAAAGGAGCGAAGGCAAGGGCCTGCTTAGGGACGAGGTCGGGGGTGGCGACGGGGGCTGGGCTCCCAGCAGGGGCAGGAGCGGCTGGTAGGGCTGGGGCCAGGCGGCTAAGGTCCACACGCACCACCGAAGGCAGCCCGTAGCGCCGGGCCCAGTACCAGTCCTGTCGAAGGGTCCAGCGGCTCTCGGGCAGCACGTGGAGGGCCACCGTGGCCTCAGCCCGGAGTTGGCAGTGGGGTCCACAGCCTCCCCAGCGGTGCAGGGAGACAGAGACAGCATGGAGGGCAGGGGGCCGGGAGGCCGGGCGGGTCCCGGGGCGGCGGCGGCGGCGGCGGCGCTTCCGTAGACGGACTCGGGGCTGGGGCTGAGGCATCCACTGGAGCCAGAGGGGCAAGGAGTCCAGGTGGGGGCTGGCGGGCAGCAGGCATGGCGGCCGGCAGGCAGCTGCGGTGGCCAGGGGAGAGGGAGACAGGGGGGGCGG